ATATTAGAACCAGCCTAAGATGGTTTTCTGGCCTCCCAGCCTGGACAAGTAGGTTTGTTGGTTTTAGAGGGGATTTCCAAACTAGGAGACCATCTAAGACCAGCAAACCAGCGTAAACTGATTTAAGATGTTTTTAGCAGGGTAGAGAGTAGGTCATGCACTGTATATAATATCTTAGTTTTGAGAGATTTATATTTGTCGTTCTATACCTGTACATACAATTGTCGATTTGTATATTTTTTATTCCTTATTTACTTGTTCTATTTTTTATTATCTGTGTTTTTTGTTCTGTCACTGTCATTCTGTTACACTGTGGAAGCTTCTGTCACGAAAACAAATTCCTCGTATGTGTAAACATACCTGGCAATAAAGCTCATTCTGATTCTGATTCTGATTCTGAAAATGCCATCGTTAAAACCAATGACTAACAAATCTTTTTTTAAATGTTAATAATAACATTTTAATAACATAATAAACAGCGATATGTGTTTAACATATGGCTTTACTTGAGAGTTTAGACTAAAGCACGTAATATACCAGGTAAGCAACAATTACGACTTAAACCGATTTACTGAATCGCTTTTGAAACAATTCTTTAACATGAACTGCTCAAAAGAACCGATTCGAAAAAACGATTAGGCTTGCTCGAGAAGCGTCGGTGCTGCGCAGATCGATCGGCGTATGACATCAAAGTACCGCGAGAGCGATTCAAAAGCTTAAAGAGTCGTCTGCTCTCCAATCACTCTCGCGGTACTTTGATGTCATACGCCGATCGGTTGCGCAGCGCCGATGCAAATATGACGTAAAGAGTCCCATCCAAAATCACAACGGGGGTGGTACGGTTTCCTCTGAAGAAAATAGTTAAGGAAAGTGTAACGTTTAATAGTTTAAATAGCCAAGAGGTGGCTTATAAGAGAGAACAGATACAGAAAAAGGTTTGTGCTTCTTTGGAAAATACTGAAATGACGACACTCTTTTGTTCGGTACTTCCCCGAGAGTGAGCTCATTGGTATAAGCCAACAGAAGGCCCTCCTGTAGTACTGCTCCAGCAGTGGGAAATTGATCTCTGACTTCGACTAGTTCATCGTTAAGAGATCGCGATGTGCTGTTCTGCATAAGAAAATGCGTTCTTTACTTAAGGAAACATATAAATGCTGTATACATGCTTTTCGTTTCTAAAACGTAGCTTTTGCTGTTCACTTTGAAAAAATTTCCCAAGATCCAACCGCAACAAGGTGGATCAGCGCGCACAGGGACACCGGATGGCTCTGCTGACAGTCATGCTGTAGAGCGTCAAAACAAGTGCATCTCTCGCCACTGACACACAGACCCCAGGCCCAGGGTGGAGGCAAGGGTAAGAGAGATTGACACTCCTCTGATGGACTGCGTGGATGCATAGACATAAGCAATGACATAAGTAGCCAGACGTTTAGAGTGTGGCGATGAGAAAGGGTGTAAACGCATATTGGACATTATTACATCATGTCTTTCATTAGATATGTCTTACCGAAGCGTGATTCTGTAATGGTGCTGTATTTTTCAAAATAGGGCAGAATATGAAGTATTACTTATTTAAGGCAAAAGGACAGCAAACGTGTTTGACTTTTAACATGATGGTCGTCTGTCTGAGAAGTTAGGCTTATTAATTTCTATAGAATTATTATTATTATTAATGAGCTGTATGTGAGTTTACATTTTTTGCAGCACTGATCAGTGTTTGGGACATGTCTAAATGAAGTTTAAAACCATAATTTGTGTAATTTATGCATAAAATCTTTTTAAAATTTATATTTAAATTTGTAAATAAAATATTATATGAAAACAAATGGATTGGAAACCGAAAACTACACCAGAATGGAAACAGGGTTACAAAATAAGGAGGAAATCATGGATTTCGTATTCGACAGGGGCAAATATATTTTTGTTGTTGTTAATTTAAATAATTTTTATTATTATTATTCTGTTGTTTTATTTCAGTGCAAATACATTGAATTTCAGTGCAGTA